GATAATGTTCTTGATATCTTCCCACAATTCTTCCAGTTTTTGGCTGTTGGTGTTCAATGCATCAAATCTATTCTTTAGATGATCTCTAAATTCAGGAGAGATATATTCAAGATCATATTTTGGCTCTCTTGGACTTGTTTTAATTGTCTTTAACTTCAAGTTGAACTTGCATATGAATAGTTATGGTCTGTTCCACAATCAGCTCCTGACCTGGTTTTGGCTGAAGAGATTGAGCTTTTCCCTCTCCTCACCTGGATCCCTGTGGCTGACTGCTCCTCTATCCTGGTTCCTGGGCTTTTTAACCCTCTTTCTCCCACTCTCCCACCCTGCTGCTTTGGGCATGCCTGGGTTCCTTCTCCTCATCTGGATCCTTGCGGCTGACTACTATTATGTGATAGAAACAAACAAAAAAATCAAACACACTGCCATTGTATTGATTCCAATTCATACTGACCCTACAGGATAGAGTAGAACTGTCCCATAGAGTTTCCAAGGCTGTAAATCTTTGTAGAAGTAGACTTTCTCCTCTGCAGCAGATGGTGGGTTTGAACAACCAACCTTTTAATCAGCAGCTGAGTACTTTAATCACTGTGGCACCAGGACATGTGACAGAAAGGGGATTTTAATCCAGTTCTGTATTAAAGCAGAGCTCTGGCTTCTATATGCCACCATCACTCTCTTTGCTGTGAGGATTGTGCCACTGGCCCCAAACAGTAAGGGTAAAGGACAAATAGACTTGACAAAGTTTATTGCTCCTTCCTCTGAGATCTTTGCATTTCCATCATTGTGATAGATAGGGATTCACCACACTTAAAGGTAGTACACACAGACACACACAGACACAGATATACATATTGTTACCTCACTTCTTACCTCATTAATTTGATTTGATGACAAATCTAGTTTTTTTAAAGAAGAATTGCCAAGGAAATCAAGTTCTTCATGTCTCAATGAATTAATTTTATTATTTGACAATAAAAGCTCTTGAAGGTTTTCCAATTGGAGCTCAGTTCCTAATTTTGTAGATGATAAACCATTATGAGCTAGATCTAACTTGACTAAGTTCTGAGGGAAAAAAATATGTATGTAAGTTAGTTACTTGACATAAAAAATAGTTTTAGTAAATATACATATATCTTAAAAATATCCATTATTATGTATAAAACTAACAGCAGGAATAACAAACAGTCTTTGTCATGAGAACAATACCATCCTGACAAGAACTTAGTTTCTTTAAAAATAAAAGCATTCAATCTCAGTAAACATTTGTTTATAATGTTGGGGATATCCATGTGGCTTATCAAATATAGGTCACCCATTGTTCTTGAAGCAAGAAACAAATAAAGTACAGGGAAAAATAATTCTTTTTTTTTTTTTTCTTTCTGAAGGGCAGCTAGGGGCCATAGTTTCAGTGGTTCCATCAGTCTCTATCAGACCAGCAAATCTGGTCCTTTTTTTTTTTTTTAAGATTTTGAGTTTTGTTCCACATTGTTCTTCCATTTTATCCAGGATCTCCTACAGAGATCCCCCTTTGAGTGGTTGACACTAGTTCTAGTGGTCTCATAGTCATATAGGCTGAGGATCATATTGTGTACCAGTCGCTTGGACTAATTGTTTCCATGAATCTTTGGTTTTCTTCATTCTTCTTTGCTCTGGATGGGAAGAGGCCCATCATTGCTTCTAAATGACCACCTACAAGCTTGTAAGATGCCAGTCCCTACTCGCTAAAGTAAGATGTGGAACAATGTTTTGTGTAATGTGTTATGCCAATTGAGCATGATGTCCCCTGTGACTACGGTCCCAAGCCCATAAGTCCAACTACTCGCTCCCTCTGGGTGGCTGGCTGTGACCAAGAAATGACTACAGTCTTGTCCATTGTCAGCACTACTGTATACCTGGAAAGTCTTACAGAATAAAGCAATACACTCATAGAAATGTTGTCTGCCAACCCTATACATTGTCTTGGGCACACTCTCCCCTGCATAGACATACCTAATAGTTCAGCCTGTCCACCCATCTATCCACCCATATATCCATGTTTGCATTCACTGACAACCCAGTACTGTATGTCCAAAAGGGTTCATCTTTGTTGCCTGTATCTCCCATGCAGCTCTGTCTTCCTCTTCCTCAATGCCACCATGTTGATCACTCACATTTGGTACGTTGCCCTTCTCTTCATCCAAATCAATACTTATCTCTACTTATCTAACAGTGTTCCCTCCGCTCCCCTCCCATACATTTTTCATGGATTTAAAATTCCAGTAAAACAGCTGAAAAGGACAGATGGTAGTCATTGGAAAAGCAATATTGAGGACAGTTTAAACAAGAGCAGCCCTCTTGGCAGAGTGATAAAAGCCCTTGACTGCTAACCAGGTTAATGATTCAACCCCACTAGCCCTTCTGTGGGAAAAAGATAAGACAATTTGCTTCCATAAAGATTAACTCCCCTCCAAAAAAAAAACCAAACTCACTGCCATCAAGTAGATTCCAACTCATAATGACCCCATAGGACAGTGCAGAATTCACCAATAGTGTTTCCAAGGCTGTATATCTGTATAGCAGATTGCCACATCTTGCTCCCACAAAGGAAATACCAAGAACCCAAAACCCCGGCTGGTGGTTTTGAACTGTCAGCTTCCAGTTAGCAGTCAAATGGGACTAGTGAGTTCAAAACACCAACCTTTTTGTTAGTAACCATGCTTTAACAACTATGTCATGGTTTTTTAAGCCAAGAGAAAGTGACTTTGAGTTGAATAATTTATCATTGTGTCAATTTGCTAACTTTATTTGAAGTTAGTATGTAGAAGTTACTAGCATGTTTTTTTTTTCTCTGCTTTGCTTTAGTTCTAAATCAGCAGCATTGAGAGGTTTTTTTTTTTTTTTTTTTCATTTCCTCATGGGATATTCTTATGATAGTAGCCTCTATCTCTTGTCTCTCAGTTCTGTTTCTAATGGTGGGAAATTTAAGAAGTGGATTCCTTTAAAATTAAGGTTAAAACTGATTTAGACTGCATTTTCTCTTTTGCAAACATATTCAGTCATAGTAGCATTATGTGTGTGTATGCATGTGTGTTTCATTGGGGTGGATTAGATTTCTTATTTTTCACCTTGATATTTTGGTATTAAGTCTAAGAATAGATAAATGACTAGAAAACTACTTAGCATTGGCTAACATATCTTTCTTTACTAGGGAGGATTAGATTTCTTATTCTTCATTTTCATATATAGATATTAAGCTGAGGGTAGATAAGTTTCTTTAAAATTTAACATTTGTTAACATGTAGTTTTCATTTTGTATCTTGAAATGTACACTTTCGCCTTACCTTTAAATTTTTTAAGGGATTATCTTGAATTTTCTGGATTGAGTTGGACATTAAATGAAGTTCAGTCAAATTTATGCAGAAGATAAACGTTTTGTCAGAAAGTTGAGATAGCTCATTGTGTTGGAGGTTCAATACTTTCAACAAAGGAAGTTTTTGGCAGAGTCCTGGCTCCAGTTTTGAAATGGTGTTAAATCCTCCATCCAAGATAATAAGTTGGCTGTATCTTGTAAAATTGTCAGGTGGTAATCTCCTGAGTTGATTATGGGTAAGGTTCAACACTGTTATGTTTGCTGGGAGGTCATCTGGTACTTGAGTCAATTTCATATGACTGCAATCAGCTACTTCATGTCTAACAGCACATTTGTTGGCAGAGGCTGTACACAACATCCAAAAGGACATCGTCAGTCCCCAAAAGAAGTAGTTTTGATAAGGCAAAGCCGGTATCATATTTTTCCCTATAATTAAAACATAAAAAGAAAATAATGAGCATCCTTAATAACATATGCTTTTATAACGCCTATATTTCTTATTAAAAATACTTAATATATGATTGGTGTATACGCCCTTCCTCATAATTTTTATATTATAAAAATACTTTATCACATTGAAATAATTCAAATAGTATGGAAGAGTGGAAATTAAATATGCAAACTCCTCCCTCAATCTTTACTTTCCCCTCAGTTGTAATCTCCCAAAGTAACCTCTTTTGACACTTTCTATTTTTCTCATGATCACTTTCATAATCTGAAACAATCTGCTTGTACTTATATTTCCTCATATACTGATTTTAATAATTATCTTCCCGGTATAAAGATAAGTAACTTCATCATACTATTCCTTTGTCTTCGTCCCAACTTTTCTTTAGTTATCTTTAATTTTAATGAATCTATTATTACATCTATAGTTTTAAAGACTACACCTAAACTTCTGTTTCTTAGTCGACCAACTTTAGACAGAATCTCTTGATGCCTCACTTCATGATACAGAAAACGCACACCCTTGCATTTCCCTCCACACTTCTTTCTTCCTTACAAGTTTCAAAGCATGTCAGCTTTGACACTGCATGCCATTGTCAAGATTTAAAATGCTAGAGTTGTCTAGAAACTTTGATTAAGTCTCACATGCCTGATCTAGATTCATTTGATTTGGAAAATCTTAAATCAGTAAATAGGATTTACAATTTTATGATTATATACAAATCTAATACAGAATCAGCAAGAGAGGCATAGTGATTAAGAGAACACAGAGCCTGCATTTTGATCCTGGTTCTTCTACTCTGTAGACTTTGGAAAATTAATTCTTCTCTCAGGCCTCAGAGAGAAATTACAGTAGCTCCTACATAGGTGGCTGTGAGCAGTAAAGAAAGTAAACTACATATGGCCTAACATTACCGGGGCCAAAGCAAAATGAAGTGTAATTACTATTAATCAGCACAATAATATCATGATTTATAAATGTATAATTATAACTATTATTTATTTATGTAAAAATTTTATTTAATAAAGGAAATCTATGCCCCCCCTACAAAAGACATATTGTATCATGAGACTTTTATAGCTTGTCACTACAGAAGACAGCAATAGTAGAAGGAGTCAAGAGTATAAAATAATTGGAATTCAAAGAAATTCATGGATTGTTAGAAATTTAAGAAGTCCCTTACAAACTCAATCTTGTGCCAAGTAGGAGCTGCATCACAGAGTCTGGGGCTGTTATTACAGGCTGGGAGGCAACCAGCACCCTTCCTGAACAGCTACAAAAGATCTTCATGTAGGTGGCCAGATTCCTTCAAAATGCCTCTGTTCTTCAACCATTTTCAAAAATTAAAAACAACAGTTCAGTATTATGAGGCATCCATGGGTCAATGAGCAATAGCTCAGTCTAAAGATTTAAAGTATTAAGCTTGAACATTTATGAGTACATCATTCACAAAAACCAAATGCATTTAAATGTTTTAATAAGAATCTTTTATAGAATATAAATAAAGTTGCCTATAAAACATTGCATAAATCACTCAGACATCTGTATGAGTGCTTCCTATAAAATAAACATAGAATTGTATTTGACGTGAGAAGTCTTAGGTACCAATCATAGCCTTGCACAGAGAAACAAAAGGAGAAAATATTTTAATTTATAGATGTTTTATATTAAGTTTTTATTATATATATGTATGTATGTGTGTGTGTGTGTGTATATATATATATATATATATATATAATATTATTATATTATGTTTTATTTTAAGAATTTCTATTCCTCACAAGTGAAAGAAGAGAGCAGCCAGTCTAATGCAGTAAGGGGAGAAAAAGATAAAACCTCATGCCACTAAGCAGATTAGTTTTGAATAATCAAGACAACATGAATTCTCCCATATAACAAATGTATAATTCTTTGGAATTACATATTATTTCATTTTTTGCCTACTTGAACTATGGCTTTCTTGAACTTTATAATTTCCCCCTTTTTACTCTTGTTAAAAGAAGAACTATGTAGGTTTCATTTCTGTAACACCAAGACAGATCAGCCTGCTTCTTAATCATGTTCTTTGCTGAATGGGCAATTAAGATGAATGCTTCCAACACTTGCTAATTGGCTATTATTTATCATGGAATCCATTTCACTGCACCTCTGGGTTAAAGGCTTTTTTTGGATTTCAGTACCTTTTTCCTTGAAATTATTGTTTTATTTTGGCTAGAATACTTCCATGAGGAGCTCTGGTGGGGTAGTGCCTAAGCCATTTGACTGTTAACGAGATAGCTGGTGGTTCAAACTCACCAGCCACGGAAGGAAGATTTAGCAACCTATTTCTGTAAAGATACCACCTCAGAAACCCAAGGAGGAATCACTCTGAGTCAAATCCGACTCGAAGGTGGCAGTGAATGAATGAGTTAGTTAGAATATTTCCTTGAGTAATTTTTATTTTTAAAAAAAATGTACATAGGAGATGTCTTAGTTATCTAGTGCTACTATACCACAAGTGGGTGGCTTTAACAAACAGAAATTAATTTTCTCATAATTTAGGAGGCTAAAGTCCAAGTTTAAGGCACCAGCTCTAGGAAGAAGACTTCCTCTCTCTGTCAGCTCAGGAAGAAGGTTCTTCTCCCTTCTGAGCTTCTGCTCCTGGGCAACCCACATGTGCTTGGCATCTCTCTTTCCCTATCTCTCCTTTGCTAGTTTGTGTTTTATCTCTTTTATATCTCAAAAGAAACTGACTCAAAATACACACTACACTAATCCTCCTTTAGTAACATAACTAAGACAACCCATTCCCAAATGGGATTATAACCACAGACATAGAAGTTAGAAATCACAACACATATTTTTTGAGGACACAATTTAATGCATAATAGTAGGTTATCTTTCTAAATTCCTGTTTGTCTGTTTTTTTTTTTTTTGTTTTGTTTTGTTTTGTTTTGTTTTTTAGTCATCACATGGTTTTGATATACAGGTAATTTGAAAGTCAAAATTATTTTAATAGGAAACTCTTGAAAATATTATTCCATTGTCTTTTGGTCTCCACTGTTGCTAAAACAAAATCTGAATGTTATGGTACAGTGAATTACTTAATATGGCCCTTCTATCCATGTTCTTTGTGACCTCTACCAGGTGACTGGTAGGATTTTGCAAATGTGAGATGCTTGTGGCCCACCAAAGGAATTTGATAGCTTGTCAATAATGTAAATAAGGTACATGCCACCCTGGGGTGGATAGAACAGTGCAAATAAGATGTGTGTATAACCCACCAGCCACTTCTTGGAACGAAGGTTGGGCAATCCTACTTCTGTAGTGATACTGCCTCAGAAACCCAAGGAGGGGTCGCTATGAGTCGGGTTTGACTCGACGGCACATAA